AAGCTTGGTATTCAGACAAGGCAGCCATCAACAGGCACATAGAGATAAACAACATCTATACACTCTTCAAGACAATAGAAAGAAAAACAAAAGACCAGAACATCTCCTCACCAGCAATCAACACCCAGATAAGCAGAGATTAACACCAAGATTACCACCAGACATACAAGCAGCAAACAATACCTTAATCAAGGAACTACCAGAGGGAAAAAATAAAAACAAACCCCTCCCCCGCTCCCAACACTGGCAAGGCATGCCACAATATATCAACAGAGAGCAAACCCCATTTCATTCTAGCACTTAAGATGTTACCTAGCTGGGTAATGAAACGTTTGCAAGAAAACAACCAAGCTCAGAGAACCCCAATGTTCTTTGCTATAGCTATAGCTGCCAACTAGGTATCAAGTTAGATTCAAGATTTTGCTTCCGAGAGTGAGATAGTCCAAAACAGCTTGGAAAAGGATACTAACCCACTTTTACCATTGGAGACTTGATCAATATTATCAGTAGTGGAGACCTTGCATATATGATGAAATGTCACTTCGTGGTTATTCATGGGTGGCCCTTTCTATGCTAGTTTTTGAATTGTGGAACGCTGTATTCCCTGAAACGTATGAAGTGTTTAAGTAATGCATCTCTTCAACAGTTGTTGAAGACTTTTTTCATTCAGAATTTCCATGTATGTTGGATGAATGCTTCTGCTTTGCTGTCTTTTTCCTTTTTAAGAATATGCTTTGTGATGCTTTAATTTTTCTTATTGTAATTTTATTGTAAATTGCTTCAAAATCTATTGATAAAGAAGTGATTTAAAATACATTAAATGCATACATAGTAAATACCTGATAGGTTTGTCTAATTACTGGAAGAATCACCCTATCCACCTAGAGACTTTTCATGTAGCTCATCTAAATTTCAGATCTTTGTATTTACACAATATATGATATGATATTAAACTGCCCCACAGAGAGCCACTACAGCCGGTTGGACAAAAATAGTTTCCTCTCATGTGTTAATTATGACTAATGAAAAAATAAACATATGCATAAGGGAGAAGTAGTAACAGTGGCTTTCCCCAGTTTCAACAAGGTGACACTGTTCACTCTATCACCTCCTTTTGGTGTAAAGATTAGAAGTTTAGCAAGACTTTATGGACAGGGTTGTATCACTCTGATATTACTAATGTGTTGTCACAAAGCTTTAAAATCCAAACATATTAATGCAATTTGTGAAACCAAGTTAACTAATGCAGAATATGGTTATTACACAATAGCAGGAGAAACTCAGGATAATTCTATGTTTGCACACTTATTTGATGTTTTATTGAAGTCATCTGTTAAACTGTAAATTGAGCAAAATTAGAAATTAGATTTTTTTAGAAGAAAAAAGAACAGGGCAGGAAAAAGCCTTCCAATCATACAAGTAAAAAAACTGGAGTACTATCATATGGATAAGCACAAATGTGTGCCGAAAATATAAATAAAACACGTTTTTTTGTACTTAACGTATTTACTACTTACACAACATTAATCCTCTCTCTTGCAAAGATTCTCACACTGGTGCTATAAATATATTGAGCAGGAAAAAACATATTGTTTGGACATCTGGTTTGTTTGTAATTATCATGGAACTTACAAAAATGGGTACTACTTTACTGTCAGTATCAAAGTTATGGACACAGAACTTGCTGTGCAAGATGCAGCAAAATCCAACTTATGCTCAGTAAGAACAACACTGAGGCTGTGTTAAAGCTAGCCAACCAGATTGTAGTCAAATTCAAACCCAGCCTCTTTTGTTAAATTCATAGCTCAGTGTCATGCAAACCCATAAAAATAGGTTAAGTACATCATGCTTACATTAGCTTTGGGCAAGCATATTGTATGAACATGACTGTGGACTGCAATAGTGGAATATGGATTTGAATACAAATAGTTCCTGCTTACCGGCCACTTGTTCAGTGACTGAAGTTTGACACTGAAAAAGGACTTACAACCAGTCCTCAAAGTTGCAGTTGTGGCAGCATCCCTGCAGTCATGTGATCGTGATTTGGGTGCTTGGCAACCAGTGCATTTACAATGGTGGCAGCATTCCATGGTCACATGATCACCATTTGCAACCTTCACAGCTGGCTTTCGACAAGCAAAGTCAACGGGGAAGCTGGCAGAAAGTTGCAAGTTGTGGTCACGTAACTATCCATGGTGATTTGCTTAACAATCAGTCAGAATTGACGTCATTAAATCAGGCATGATCACGTGACATTTCACTTTGCAACCGTGTTGCTTAGCAACAGAATTTCCAGTCTCAATTGTGGTCAGTAAATGAGGACTACCTGTACTAGGTACAATTAGTAAACACTTAACTAAGTGTATTGTCATCATGATCTTCTAATAGGCTTCCACAATATACCTGAATAGGTATGGCAGATAATGGGCCATTTGAATGAATGCAGGACTTCCATCATACAATGGAGATATAGCAGCATGTACAGTAATTAGGGTATTGAACAAAGATTAAGACTCAAATTCAAGTCCATCCTCAGCCATGGAACTTCACTCAGACACTTTGAACCAATTACTCTTCCTTAATCCAACCTATTTAACAAGTTTGTTGGGAGCAAAAAAATGAAGGGAAGAGTGCTATGTATATTACCCCAAACTTCTGGAGAAAAAGTGGGACAGCAATTTAACAAATAAAAAATAGACGCTACACTGTGTATTTATGTACTGCAATGCAAAATTATGTGGCTCAAAATTCAAACAACAGCTCACAAATTATATGGCATCAGAAGGAATAACATGAAGCCTGCAACCATCTTTTTGATTATTAAAAAGATACACATAGGCATTCCTCCTTGAGCAATGCTGTGAAAGAATCTCCCATGTTTTCAGAGTAACATGCCCACCCACAAAGCTTTAGTTTACATGAAGAAAACATGGTGGGACTGGTCTTGTGTAGCATACTCCTATGGTATTTATGTAGCAATAGAAAGAATGTAACTTCTGAAAGACTATCATAAAGTCTACTTTCAGAATTGATTAAAAAAAGAAGTCACTGACTTTCTTTTATTAAATAGTCAAAATATTACAAATGATTAAAATCTTTATTTTTTTTTACACCTGCATTTCACCATAATACTAATTTTCACATGCACTTATTTTCAAAACCAACTAGAGAATTCTTACATGGGACTAAATTTTACATCTCCTAATAAGCAAATTAAAAATATTTAAAAGTTGCTGCTGTACAGTTACAATTTATTCACAGTTAAACCATTATTTACAGAGCACTCTCCTGAGAATTACTCTATTCAGCTTCAATTTGAGCAATAATATAGAGTTGATTAAGTAACAAGTTACTTAACAATAATTCAGCTGAGAGAAAAAGAACAGAACTTTCAACCAGTTTCTTGTTGTGATTCTTGATGATCTGTAGAAGATACAGTTGACAGCTGTGTTAACTCAGCAGGCAGTTCATTTCTGTTATCAGATGGTGGTGGTGGAAAAAAGCCAGCCCTTGGAGGAGGTGGATATTGTGAAAAAGGCCTCATAGGAAAGGGACCTCTCACTGTTCAAAGAGAATTATCAAGATCTCTTTAGTCTGAATTTAGAACAAGGCTACTTAATATTGGACACATAACTAAAACCAACAGTAGATATAATAAGGAACCAATAAGAGATATCTTTAAAAATTATCAGTAAAATGATTTCATAGAAGAAAGGAAAGCAAGATTAAAACTGAATATTTCACTATACTCAAAGCTTTAGATTCAAAAACTGTTTTTGCCAAATTAATGCTCTCTAATTATATAATGGACTCTAATTCCCATTAAACCAGGGGATATGAAGAAAACATCAGTCTGAAAGGACTGCTCTTCACTCATGTTTTTAACAGAGGTGAATTTTAATAAATTTTGCTAGAATTGCCTGTTCTCATGATAAGGAAAACAAAGCAACATCGATCCGTCTGTCCATCCATCATATGTCAGTTTTAAAAGAGTGACTGTCTCTACCTAATGATTTTGTAACAATACAAAGACATAAAACAATGCAAATAAATACAATAGAATACAATGCAATGCAACTTCATGAAGTTCCTAGCAAAACACTCTCACAGCACATTGTAATGCCTGAGGAAAAAAAAAAACAGGTCTTCAAGGCTTTCCCCACCTAGGGCTCCACAGCCTCCAAGCACAGATAAAAGCCTTGACAGTATCTCTTGGATAGCCTGGGGTCACCTTAAACAGGCTTTGGGGCAGAACACAGGGACTTGGAACATGGCATCAGGGTGAAACACTGAGGCATCCTTCCCCAAGAGTGGCTCACCCATCTCCCACCAAACTAAAGGATTTCCTGAAAAAATTGTAACTAACAACTCCCTTAAATCTTTAGGAATGTGCTTTATGACTATAAGTTGATATTAAATAGAGCTAGAATTTAGCAGTAACTTTAATAATAAATTTCATGTTCTTAAAGAGTTTTAAACTAGGAAAAAATCATACATCAGAAGCACTTAGGCAAATTAACTGTGACTAAGTCTCAAAAGCAAGAGAATTGGATTGTTACTCTATTAATTTTTCTCAAAACCAGATACATCCATTTCTTCTTGGAGTGTACCTCAATTTATCATGGTTTACAAATGTTTTCCTATGAACTTATTTAGTATTTAGAAACCAGTAACATACTTGGTAATAGAGGACGTGGCAAACCAGCAAAATCCCTTGGAAAATATTCTTGTGCTCCATATACAGAACCAGGAGGTAATGGTGGAAATGGAGGGCCTCTTCTCATGAAAGATCCTCTTGGATCCACTGACATTAGAGGAGCTCTCAAAAAGGGAAGTGGTGGTGGCACAATTCCTGATCCTAAGGTTTCATTTTCAGGAGGAAGAGATTGATCAGGTATATTGAGCATATTCTGTGAAAAAAAGGAATGTAGGCAAGATAATTTTGGAAAGCATCTGTCATTTACAAGTGCCTTATGAAAGCAGACCAGAGTAGAAATGGAATCCAACCAGGAGCATGAACCAAAAACAATGCATTCAAATGCAATTCCAAAAGCTGCAATTGAAAAGACATTAATTAAAACAAGACACAATTGGAGGATCACAAACAGGAGAGATTCCCAATGCAATGAAAACTTCTGGCTGAGTGAGGAAGGCAGGATTTTCACTGAGCCCTCTCTGCACCTGTCACCTGTATTCAGAACAGATTTCCCAGATTCAAAGGAGAGGAAGAAACAGCAAAAACTGCCTCTCCTCTTTTGAGAGTACAACTACCAAAAGAGGGTACAATCTAAGCCAGTGTGACTTCTCTATAGAAAATGTAGCCCAGCCATTGCTAACCAACCATTTTTCCTTCTGTGTTCATTCTTTCTTCTTGTTTTTTCAGTTATAAAATCATTCAGTTGTGGAATCACTACTTGAACTAACATTTATTCAATATCAGAATATGGAAGCATTCACAGCATAATAAAGCTAAATGAAAATACAAATTATACAAAATTAGTTACAGCATTGCAAATTTCAAATTCAATAAAATTGTTTTCTCAGTCTTTCTGTGTTTTACTTACACTGCCATTGGAATGATCTCTTATTTCATTTCCACTCAAGTCCATTCTCAAGTTATTTTCAGATGATAGTCCATCTGGATGTGAGGGAAAGGAATACACATTTTAACATTAAACAGACTCACAAACTTCCTTCCAAAGAACAGATGGCTATAGAAACAAGAGACAATGTCAAACACAATGTTTTCACACATTTATTAAGCACAAATGCTAATAAGAAACATGAACGCTTCTTTTGTGTTTCAAAAAATTATCCACCCTATACAGATGCAAAATAAATGTTCACATTCCTGCACACAACATTTAAGACTTCTTTCCCTTTTCAACTCAACCAGTGTGCAAGAATACTGCTTAAATATTATGCTATTTACAAAAAATGAAGCCTTGTTATGATTTGCTTCAAGGTCTGAATAATCCATGTTTACTGATGTTGGATTAAATGTCTTCATAAATATTTTTAGCATGAGCTTATGTTAAATGTATCAAGCTGCATTCAGTTCTTCCTCTCTATGCAGTGTTTTAGTAAACTTCCCTTCACCCTCAATCCTCAAGTTATTCTATCTAATTTCATGCAAAGTCATATGCAGCCCCATACAACATACTCAGCCTGAGGGAACAGTCAAGGCTGCTGAGGTTTTTCAGGAGGCTAAGGCCACTGAGGGGCAGCATGGGAGAAAGATTGGTTGCATGCATTATCTCCCATTCTCACAACTGTTTTAGTTTCCACAGCTGATGAGTGGTTAAAGTAGTTTCACTTGTTTCTTAACTTCTAGCACTGCTTTTTTTTTTCTCTGTGAGAAACATGAAATAAAGCTGTACCGCAGAGGGCACAGAACATAGGTTTCAACATATCACAGCTGTAACTAAGATTCTTAGATACCTTGCTAAGAAGAAGAACTAAAACCTGAAGATTTGCACTTCTCTATGTTCTAAAGAATTACTTTTATATTCAAGCATTTAAAAACTACAATTCCTACCTGTTTTCTCAAGTGAATGCATGTTATAACTTCTTAGTTCAGCTGGTCCTGAAAGCCTTCCAGAGTTTAAAGGATTGGAATAAAATCTTTCTGGTCTTCGAGGAGGAAGAGACTGCTCATTATACAGGTGACCTATTGTTTAATAAAAAGTGAAGCTTATTTAGAAGAATTCCTGAAAAATGCCTATAGCTTATTTTCTTTCATATTCCTTATACACTAGAACATACAAGTTAAACCATAAAGGACAAGCAGTACGTGCTCCCAGTAATATGTTAATGGACATCTGATACTTATTACATACTTAATATAAAATCACCAGATTGGAAGGGAGAGTGGAGGTCTTCTAGTCCAACCTGCTGCCCATGCCATCCCACATAAATTGTTATCTAGCTGTTGTTTGAAAAGGTCTTGTGATGGAGCTCCCATGACTCCAGGAGGCAGGCTGTTTAATAGCTCTCACAGTCAGGAAATTCCTCCTTATTTCAAGTTTGGATTTTTCTCTGTAAAGATCTCTTCTCTGGAGAACTAATCTATAACATATGATGCTAGAAGAATGATTCAACTACACCATTTTTAGGAATTTCTGGGACTTCCCATTTTTTTTTACTTGGAATAGATGAGTATCAATATTATGAGGGTGGTTTGTGTATTTTCAGAAATATATAACCTGAAAATGGTTCTAAGGTTCTAGTCATGTGTCCAGTGCATTAAAGATCACTTCCAGTTTTGGATTACATGAACCAGAAATATACCCCTTAAAATGTTTAAATCAGCTAATTTTGTGAAAAAAGAGGATATTCTGAGGGGAAAAGCAATGTTTTAGAGCACACCACCTTGAAATGATTTGCACATCTCTATCCACTGAACCCAATCTCCTAATGAAGACGATTACGATCTCATATGATGAGGAAGGTCCACTTCAAAGTGGATCTCAGTAATATTCCAATGTAATTTCATTTCTGCATTCAGCAAGCAACAGTATACCATGTTTTGTTACCTGGATGAGGGAGGATTACCCTGTGATCTCTATCCCATGGAGGTGACAAAGATCCAGTGTCAGAAGGTGGCCTGTGTGGATCAGATAACCTATTAGTGTTCAGCTCTCCTCTTTCATTACCAACTTCAGGTGTGCCACGATTCCCCAGTCCTCTTGAACCTAATCAAAAAAATTACAATGGATTCAATTAGCAAAATATCTTAACAATTTTGATTGAACCTGTAAGTACTAAAACAATGTCCGTTTCAAAACACATAAGCCTGCTTGTCCCAAATTTATCATAAAAAATTGCTAATTTATCAAGAGTAGGTGAAAAGATACATTTGACTAATATACCCAAACAAAATCTCATTTTAGTTACAACAGGGGATAGCAAAGCATGATGTTTTGTGATATTTAAGCTGGCTCAAAATACATATATGTAAAATTTGTACCATATAGCTTGAATACTGATTTTTCTGAGATAGAAACACCCAGTGGCCCGATCTGGAGTCAAAAAAATTCTGAGTTTAGAAAATGCACATAAGTTGTGGGCATTAGACTTTAAAGAACTTAATATAATTTTAAAAAATGGGGTATGTGAATCAGGTTTCCACTTCCACACACATTCTGATCAGGACTGGGCCAGTGCAGAAAAGAGAGTAGCAGTACAGGATGTACATTTTATATATTGTGTACTTCAGCTGCAAGGCAGTCTGTAAATGGCTCTTTACACTCTTTATTATTACAGAAATTTTATACTCCTTTTCTGTTACATTTAATGTCACTGCAGCTTTAAGAAGCAAAGACTCTTCTAATTTCCCCTTGTTTTACTCATGGCCATCTTGGGTTCTAGAAAAGGACAAATCTACCTTCATATTTTCTTCCTTCTTGTTCCTTTACTCTTGCTTTTCCACTGTTATTCTAATGCATCCTCAGGATCTTTCCCCCACCACTGAAGACATTCAATCTCTCAAATAGAGCTCAACTAAAACTGACTTTTATCTGACCATAAACATGCATTGTTGAAAGTCTTTCTGTTTTTTCTGTTTACATTCCTCAAGACTTTTGTGAAGTACCTAGGATTCTAAAAGTACTGTGAATCTTTGTATCTGGCACTGTTCTTAATTGCTGTTGAAAGTTCAAACTTTTGATCACTGGAGTTCATCAGGATGTTCTTCTCTGCCACTGGTTCTATCATTTCCTTTGTTTATATTGTCCTATTGACTTTAAGCTTATATATGTACAAGAAATGCACAAAAACTTGTATCAAAATGCAGTAGGAAGGTGTAAGTAAGATAAAGAGGAAAGATGCCTGTACTACACTTCTCCCAATTCTCCCAATTTAAAGTAAAGTATTATTGCCTTTTGTCCTGTCTGCAAATGCTGCAAATTTCCATAGCATATTCTTTGCCTTAGGTATGCAATTGTTCAGTCATGTCAGATTGCTGCTTTGAAAAAAACAACTACCATCACCCTGAAACAAAGTCCACATTATATTAAGATTCCTCTTACAAAGGAAAGGAAGAAAGTCTTTTATTAACCAAATCACTGTGTATTGTCAAATAAATATTGCTCTAGAGCCCAATTCTGTCCCAAACCCAACCTCCTCCAAGAGACCCATCACATCTTTTAAAGAGGTTAAAAGTCTTTTTTATTTTAGAAGTGAGAAACAAGCACTTTAAACAGGTAGGAAAAGAGCTGAAACTATAGCCAACCTTTTCATTTTTAATTAATTATTGTTCAAAAGCAGGTAAACAGCCTGAGTAACTTATTTTCTGATTTTCAAACCATGGTATGTGATGATCTCTTACCTATTTTGTTTTACTTATTCATTTCAGTCTGTCTGTATGCCAGCAATTTTGGAATAAAGTTTAATAATTTTAAAGCCATCCTTAGGCTGCAATCAACAATCTAAGACGCAAAAACTCATACTGTATATTATTGTAACATAAAAATATGTATGACCTGCTTTTCATCTCACTTATTTTAGTTTTAAAAGCTGCCACTTGGCCCAGTTTTATTAATCTAATTAATGAACAATATTGGTTTAGGTGTTTTTTTTTAAGTAAATTAATTTGAAAACTGAACTTTCCACAAATGGCTTTGTAAGTACTGGTAGATCACAGATTTAGTTTCGCTCTCTTACAAAAAGTTTTAGTCAGTACCAGTTGTAAAACAGCCCTTTCATGAACAGGAGGCTTCTCCTCTCTGCATGTTTACTATAAAAGTATGTAATACATAAAGTTGGAATATGGAATTACTGTTCTAAGCTCCATGCCAGAGATCATTTATATAGACCTGTGTTTCTCAACCTTGGGAACTTTAAGATGTGTGGACTTCAACACATCTTAAAGATCCCAAGGTTGAGAAATGCTGATGTATTAGCTGAAAAGGGTTCTTTTTAAGTATATTTTACAGAACTATTACCAAGAAAGGAGGGATAGACTAAGAGGAGAGAGAACCCAGAGTCATTAAGTTTTCAAATTGAAGAAGTGTACCTCTTCCTCCTCCACCTGGAAGCACAGGTGAAAGTCTTAAGGGACCCTCCAATAAGGTTGGGGGGGAAAGAAAAGCTCTTGTTTCAGATGAAGGTCTGCCCATTGGTGAGGGTCCATATGGGGACTGTTCTGGAACAGTTAAAACAAAATACTAAAATTCACAAGGTTAACGTTAATGGGTGTATAGAACAATAATTATTTATCAGCTCAGATTTGATGTTTAAAACTAAATTGGAACATAATAAAGTGAACTGATTGACTTTTCTTATTGGCCCTGGAATCACACAGCTCAGTTTTTAGGAATCATTTCATGAATTATGCAGGTTTTTAGCTGAGAATCAAGGCTTGCACTGGGAAACGAAATTAGGTATTGTAATTCAATGAAATGCAAATGCTAATAATTCTTCAATTGGTAAGTTGGCCAATTTATTCAGGAACTCTTTGATTCTTTAAAATACAGTGCCCATTAAATAAAATTCCATACCTCTGCCAAATGCTGTGGCTGTATCATCATGAGCATAAGGATCTTTTTCCAAAATATCATATTTAAATTCTGCTTCTGTTAATCTAAAGAAAAGAACAAAAAGCTATGTTTTCCATATTACTGCTTCAACCATTTAGTTTTTCTACTGCAAAGGAAAAATCAGTTAATCAGATAGATTACAAGCACTGATTGATTCAATGTTTATACATACATATGATTTGGATGGCTCCCTAACTTGCAAAGTAATTCTGGGAGACTAACTTAGGACTAAAAACAGAACAAAATAAACAATGAACATAAAACAACATAATATAAAATAGCACAAACAGAAGCCCACAACATGATCAAAATCCCAAATCCATTTTCCAGACAGGTTCATTCAATGTACTAACCCAGTGCCTGGTGGTGGGTGGTGGGCGGGGGGTGGGGGAGAACAAGTTTTTAAAGCCTTACAGAAGGCCAGCAGGGTTAGAGCCATCCAGCATCAGGGGACATGCTGTTCCAAAGGGTAGAAGTCATGACGGAGAAAGTTCCATTAGATAGTACTGTTTCACGAAGTGACTTGAAGCATGCCCACTGTGTCAGATCTCGTGGAATGGGCAGATATAACTGCATATAGGTGGTCGTGCAAATAACCTATCCCTTTGCCATGAAGAGCTTTATAGGTGATAACCAGAACTATGAACTGTACTTGGAAGCCTATAAGAAGCCAGTGTAGCTCATGTAGTAGTGATGTTATGTGGCCATACCATGGTACACCCCTGACTACCCATACCACTGTATTATGGACTAACTGTAGATTGTCCACAAGGGCAGCCCAATGTAGAGCAAGTTGCAATAGTTCAAGTGTGAAGTGATCAAGGCTTGAGCAGGGCCTCCTGATCCAAGAACAAGTGCAATTGGCACACAAGATGTATTTATCCAAAGGCCCTCTTTATCAGTTGCATCTGCTCCCACAAATTCAAGAGGACCTCCAAATTGCATAGCAGTTTTGTCTGGAGGAGTGTAATTCCATTCATAGTCAAAAATGGTAGGTTTCAGAAATGGAGTCCTAAATCTCACAGCCATTTTGACATGCTTGGGTTGAGCCAAAAACTGTGCTTTCCCATTCATACCACTACACCCTCCGGACACAAGGAATGAACCTTGACAGCATCACTTGGTTGGCCCAGAGTAGAGATGTAAAACTTTATATCATCAGCATGCTGATGATACTTAACTCTGTTCCAACAGATGACCTCACTCAGTGGTTTCATGTAAATGTCAAATAGCGGTGGAGAGAGAGTAAAGCCCTGAGGATCACTGCAAAGCAGGGGTTTAGGCCTAGACTTCTCCTCCCCTACCAGTGTCAACCGGAAATGGCCTTGGAGGAAGGAGGAGAACTACTATAACACCATGCCCCTGCTATCAACACCAGAAACTGTCCAGAAAGATACCATGATTGATAGATCAAAAGTCACTAAGAGATCAAAGAGGGCCAGGACAGAGAGGGCATCACCCCCATCTCAATTCCACTATAGTACCTACAAACATGATCACTGCTATCTCACTGTTATACGCTGGTCTGAGATCTGACTGAAAAAAGTCCAGATAATCCATTTCCTCCAGGGCCCTCTGGAGTTGAAAGCTGACCATCCTCTCTCTAAAAGTGGAAGGTTGAAGACAGGATGAAAATTATCCAAAACTGTTGGATCCAGGGATGGTTTCTTTAAGAAGCATGGACCATCATTTATTTAAGAACTGGTGGAACCTCCTCCTTGTTCAACAATACATACATCACCACCTGGATCCAACCACATACTGTCTCCTAGGAGGCCATAACTAGTCAGCAGCAGCATGGATCTAATATACAGGTGGACACTCTTATATCCCTGAGTAATCTATATTGTTTCTTGGGACCACTGGGATAAAATTCTTCCCAGATAACCACCCCAGATCTAGCCTTGGTCATCTCCAAAGGACCTACAAAGCCAGAGTCCATCTCAGAGTGGATCCAAATGACTATCTCACAGATGCCTCAAATAGTTTTCACAGTGGCCTTGTAAATGTTCCTCAGACCCATCTCTACATAGGAGACATCAGGTCACCTTGAACAGAGCTAGTGGCTATCTGTGGTCACAATAAGAGTGGAGAAATAGCCACATTTCACCACTCTTTTTGCCACAAGGTAATCATTAATATAGGCTCTTATCCATGCTTGACTGGATTCACTCTTTGTTTTCCTCCAATAGTGCACTACAGGCCTCTTCTGCCATTTCAACTTTCAAAGCACCCCTGAAAGCTTTTTGGGATCCACAAGTAAAGAGAATCCACATAGCTGCCATCTGATCCAAGTCCACTGCTCCCTTCATTCCAGGGAATGATTTAGACTTCAGATGAACCATGGATCTAAGTCCCAAAAACAACCCAAAATATCCCGTGGAACCCAACAGGGTCCATCGGTGCCTGGGGGGTGAACTGATCAAGTAAGTCCTTCCTCCTTGTGCTGCGGAGTGGCTGAGGAGAACTCAAAAGCCAACAGAGAAAGATCTGACTGTGACAAAGGTCCAATAGTAACAACTCACAATTTCAGATCACACTGTCACTGTCCCAAGTAATAACAACAGTAATTATTATTAATTAGTAGTAGAATCAATTGAATCAAATATCATCTAAGCATTCTAAATACAGTATAGCACTATCAAAGTACCTCAAGTTATTATCTAATTGAGCTGGATTCAGGGAAATACAAGAACTTACAATGGTGTTTGTTCTTTTTTTTTCTTTTGTTGTAGCCCCATCCCCACCCCACAAAAGCCATGCCTCAAGGTTAGTGAACCCTCCAGACAGCCTGCAGTATGTCTGAATCTGGTGGGGAGAAATGTAGAAATCAGCAGAAAAGCACAAAGTCAAGGACAGGGAAGTCACAAAACACCCTTGAATCTTAACCATTTTATATTTATATAACATCTATGTCCCTTAAAAAAGTAGAATTCAGTTGATATGCTGTGTATCTGTGTATCTAATATTAACTGAAATAAATATAAGCTTTATTTCTGTTATTATCTAGCAAATCTAGTTCTTAGCTAAAATTCCAATGAAACGCATGATTATTATTTTAAGTATATAAAGGGATGGTTCTGTGATGTCTAAGAAACCATCAGGATAATGCTAGTGCTGGGACTTCCAGGGAAGAAATGGTGAACTGAAGACGGCTCTGCTAAAAGTGGAGCTGACAACTGCAGTGAAATGAAGAGCTGGTGAGTAGACTGGCTCTTTGTAATTCCTCTCTGGACAAGAAGAGGACTTGAAATTGCCCACGAGTGCTCCAGACAGTTGCTCTTCACGATGAGATTGCAAGACAGTGGTCTCCAGCAGGTTTAGAGCTCTGGGAGATGAGGGAAAGCTATCTTTGCTTAAACTGCAGTCAGCACCTTTATGGACACTGGATTTGCATATTTCCTTTTCTAATCCCTTTAAGAAATTGCTTAGCTGCTTTTCAGCTATTAGGAATCTTTGAATCAACAAGTTTTATAGCACTGGGAGAGTTTCCTTCAATCCTTAGCAAAAGAAGTTTTAAATACAAGTTTAAAGATTAAAAAAAAAATTTTTTTTTGGAATAAACAGCAAAAGGGTTATTGGAACGTCATCTTGGAAAGTTACAAATGGGCTAAGGGTCCAGATAGATTAAAAATAAGAGTTTGGAATTAATTATAAGAATCTTTCCCATGGGAAAATGCTTTTGTTTTGAATTCTTAAAAAAAAATGATAGGATGGGACTTTGAAAGTTGGACACTAAAGGGAACCAGAAGGAACTAAGATTACATTAAAGCATAGAACATTTACATTTGACTTATTAATACAAAATGGAGCAAAATATTTTAATATTGGACATATTGAAGGATATTTGTGAACAATAGACCCAGAAGTTAATTTTAAGAGTGTCTGCCATTACAGATAGACTGTATTTAAAAGATGTTATGGAACAGGAACAAGTTATACTGGACAAGACTGAGACTGATCTGAAAGTGGTTTTAAAAATGACAAGCTACAAGAATGATATGGAAAAAGATGCTACACTGGATGTACAAATGAAACTGGCTGATGTCTTAATAATTAAAAAGAATATACAAATAACAAACCAAAAGAGTGACCTGGGTAACTTTCCTATATTGGATTTACAAAAGAGACTTGTTAAAGCTTTGAAGAATTTTGTGAGAAGGGACAAAGAAAAAATGAAAAGCAATCAAGTTCTAGAACATTATTTGAAGGGACTAAAGATCAAGATTGTTAAAAGTAAAAGGAAGGAATATAAAATTGGTTTATTTGATCAAGGTTAAAATAGATTTTGTGAGAAGGGACAAAGAAAAAATGAAAAGCAATCAAGTTCTAGAACATTATTTGAAGGGACTAAAGATCAAGATTGTTAAAAGTAAAAGGAAGGAATATAAAATTGGTTTATTTGATCAAGGTTAAAATAGATTTTGTGAGAAGGGACAAAGAAAAAATGAAAAGCAATCAAGTTCTAGAACATTATTTGAAGGGACTAAAGATCAAGATTGTTAAAAGTAAAAGGAAGGAATATAAAATTGGTTTATTTGATCAAGGTTAAAATAGATATATTGTTATTTCTGGTAACCCTTGATGGACTTTTGCTGATTGGGACTGAACAACAAGGCTTTAAGGATTTGTTTATAGATAAGAGATGAAATATAGGAAGAAGAGATCATTTTC